GATACAGGCCATGGTTTTTGCAATCACTTGTTATGCATCAGAGAGTTGGACAATGACTAGGGAGGATAGAAGGAGAATTGATACCTTTGAGCTGTGGTGCTGGAGAAGAGTGTTGAACGTACAATGGACTGCCAAGAAAACAAACAGATTCATCGTAGAGAGGGTTAAACCAGGCTACTTCCTTGGAGGCAAGGATTCTGGGACTTCGTCTGACATACTTTGGACATGTTGCAAGGAGAGACAGGTCTTTGGAGAGGGACATCATGCTTGGTAGGGTAGAGGGACAGCGCAGGAGGGGAAGACCCTCTATGAGGTGGATTGATTTAGTGACTGGGGTAATCAGGATGGGTGTGTCAGAGGCAATGCGATTGGCACAGGATAGAGGAGGGTTTAGGGTTGTTGTATATAGGGTCGCTATGAGTCGCAAACGACTCGACGGCACATAACAACAACAATTTTATTTACAGAATTCAAATACAAGTTTGAACAAATTCTTTCCATTTCCCTCACACCCCCGCATCAAACTGTACAACCAAATGATTAATACCCCCTTCACCCTGCACATCCACATCCCTCTGCTTCCAGCCTCCTCCACCCCTCCTAGATCCTTACACTCCTTCTACAATAATGGTTGTATACAATATTTATCTTTATGTGATTGAGTTAGTTCACTCAGCACAATGCTCTCCAGTCCCTCCCAAGTTAGGTAATAATTTACAAAGTTATTGCTCCTGTGTGCTGCATAGTATTCCATTGTGTAAATGTACCATAATTTCTCAATCCATGCATTTGTGGTTGGACATTTGGGCTGCTTCCATGTTCTTGAGATGGTGAATAATGCTGCTATGAACACTGGTGTACAAGCCTCAGTTTGTGCCTCAGTTCTCATATTCTCAGGGTATATTCCACGTAGTGGAATAGCTGGGTCATATGGAAGATCTGTGTTCAGCTTTTTGAGGAAGCGCCAAACTGCCTTCCAGAATGGTTACACCATTTTACAATCCCACCAACAAAGTATGAGTTCCTTTCTCTCCACATCCTCTCCAGCATCTATTACTTGCTGCCCTGTTAAACTTTGCCACTCTTACTGGAGTGAGATGGTACCTCATTGTGGTTTTGATTTGCATCACTCTTATTGTCAGTGATTTGGAGCATTTCTTCGTGTGTCTATTTGCCATTCAAATATCTTCCTCTGTGAAAATTCTTCCCATGTCTTTTGCTCATTTTGTAATTGGGTTATCAGTCTTTTTCTTGTGGAGGCCCAGGAGTATTCTGTAAACTTTTGTTATAAGACTCTTGTCTGAGATGGAATTACCAAATGTTTGTTTCCAATCTGTAGGTTTTCTTTTCACCCTGGTAGAATAAGTTATTTATGTGCATAGAGACTTAATCTTCAGAAGGTCCCATGCATCAATTTTATTCTCTTTAGTTTGTGCATTTCTGCTTGTATTTGGCAGTCTCTTTATACCTTGGACTAGCGCTTCTAAGCTTGATCCCAGTTTGTCTCTTAAGTATGTTATGGTTTTGGACTTTACTTCCAGGTCTCTGATCCACCTTGAGTTGATTTTTGTGTATGGGGTGAGATGTGGATCCTGTTTCGGCTTTCTGCAGGTGGAAGTCCAATTGTGCCAGCACCATTTTTTAAAGAGGTCATCATTTTCCCCACTTGATAGCTTTGATTTCCTTGTTGAATATCAGTTGACTGTAGATAGCTGGGTCTTTTTCTGGGTTCTCAATTCTGTTCCATTGGTCGATGTGTCTGTCATTGTACCAGTACCATGCTGTTTTGGTTACCACTGCTGTATAGTAGGTTTTGAGGTCAGGGAATACTATAACTCCAACCTCATTTTTGTTTCTCAGAAGTGTTTTGCTTATTTGGGATCTCTTGTCTCTCCGTATAAATTTGATAATGCCCCTTTCAATCTCCTTGAAAAATTAATTTGGTATATGGATTGGTATTGCATTGAGCATATAGATTGCTTTTGGTAGGATTGTCATTTTCACCATATTGAGTCTTCCTATCCATGAACACAGGACATTTTTCCATTTATTTAGTTCTTTTATTGTGTCTTTCAGAAATGCTCTATAGTTTTCTTTGTATAGGTGTCTTGTATCTCTAGTTATGTTCACTCCCAAGTATCTCAATTTGTGCTTGGCTATTATAAATGATATTGCTTTCTTTATTTCCCTCTCTGAGTTCCCTTTGTTATTGTAGAGAAAATCCTATTGATTTTTGGATATTGATCTTATATCCTGCCACTCTAATATATTGACCTATTAACTCTAATGTTGGTTTTGGGGTGTTTTATTATTATTATTATTTGTGTGTGTGTGTGTGTGTGTGTGTGTGTGTGTGTGTGTGTGCCGTCAAATCAGATCTGACTGGTACAGGAGGAGATTGTCCCTCCTTCCCCGGCAGAGCATCTGGTGGATTTGAACCGTGCACCTTTGGGATTGCAATGCAGCTTCTTGCCACTAGGCCACCAGAGCTCCCCTAACTCTAACAGGTTTTTTGTTGAGTCATTGGAATTTTCTGTGTATACTATCTTATCATCTGCGTATAGCGACAATTTAATCATTTCTTTGCCAATTTGGATGCCTTTTATTTCCTTCTTTTGTCGTATTGCCCTAGCAAGCACTTCCAATACAATACTGAAAAGGAGTGGTGACAGTGGACATTCTTTTCTGGTCCTTGTTTGCAAGGAAAAGGTTTTTAATCTTTCTCCATTGAGAATGATATTGGCTATTGGTTTTCATATATACTTTTCACTATGTTGAGGAAATTCCCTTCTATTCCAATTTTGCTCAGTGTCTTTATTAGGGAGCATTGTTGGATTTTGTCAAATGCCTTTTCTGCATCAATTGCTAGGATCATACGGTTCCAGTTATTTACTTTGTTACAGTGAATTACGCTGATTGTTTTTCTTACGTTGAAACATCCCTGAACACCCTAAATACCCACTTGGTCATGGTGAATTCTTTTTTAATGTGTTTTTGGATTCTATTGGCTAGGATTTTGTTAAGGATTTTTGCATCTATATTCATCAGAGATATTGGTCTGTAGTATTCTTTCC